TCGTTTTGTAAGGGTGGAGGTTGGTAGTTTAATTAGTAGAAATATTACGTTGGCTTTATTTTAATTCATTTCTACTTTAAGAAATTTAAGGGTAACTGTCTTCCCATAACTGGCTATAGATGGTGAAAGGCAGTAGAAGCTGAGACATTGTGGGTGTAAGCACTCAGCTTCCTTTATTTGATTGATTTTTTTATGATTTTCCATGACGGCTGACTGGAGTGACATCGGCATTTGGATATTGTCTGATAGATGGGATATCCCCAACTCATTTGGGTGCTATTACCACAGACATTATCCGTTATGATAATAAGTTGACAATCAGGACCAATAATAGTATTGCGATATATATAGCATACCTGTTATAGGTGTAATGTAGTTCCCCACTAGGGTGCCAATCTTCTATTGACACACCCATGATCTAAGCAGATGCTTTCTGTATGGATAATGCCCTCACTGGTCCCAGTTGTAAATATCGTTTGGAAGTTAATTTTTTTCCTAAATCAAAAATGTATTTCCAATAACATGTCCAATCACACTCTCTCACCCTTCCTCCCCACTTAGAGCTGCTGTTAGAGATGGGGATTGAGTCAGTCTCGAAAAGTGATAACATTATCTAATTGAGGTGCTTATATACAGTACCAGAATAGAGGGTACATTGACATAGGTGGAGTGATAAATATTGCCAAGGACAATTAAGTGTGGTATAAAAGACTGGAGCAAACCAGAAAAAATCAGACTAATGTTTAAATGGGCAAAGGAAGAAACCCTGGCAGTTGAGTAATAGCTGAAGTATGAAAGGAGGTATGATTTAAGAAAATGTTAACTTATATAATAATCAGTGATTTTGATAAACCTGAATCTAATGTGATAAACCTGAACCTAATGTTGTGGTACGTTGTTGATGACAAACCTACCTTCCTTTTTTTTTATTGCTAACACACTTTATTTACAGTTTAAATGTCAACAGCTGGCTTATTACTGGAAAATTAATAGACCTAAAAATTGTTATGAAAACAAGTTAACTGCAGATTTTTTCCTCTTAATTTGTCCATTGCAGCTTGAAGTCAGAGCTGTGTAAAAATTACATTTCAGATATGTCTTTTATCTCCCACAATTCAATGCTCAATAAGCTCTTTGTTCAGTAACAGAATTCATCAGCTGACCGATGAGAGACAAAAAATTCAGTGAAACACTATTGATACATGCAATACAACACCTTTAAAAGTTATGATTTAAATGCTGCTTTTGAGCAGCAGTGGACACGTTAAGAGGAGTGTGTGGGGGGGGAGGGGATCGGCAGTTAATTTGGTTTTAAAGCAAATTTTAAATTATTACTTATATTTATATTCCACACCTTGTATGGTTACATGTAAATATTGATAACATTAAGAAATTTAGGAATGTTGGAGTTTGATGCCATATTAAACTTGTAGAGGATTTTTATCTGTTTCACTCTCATAAAAATATTGACTTTTTATTTGAAAGCACTAAAAAGTCTTTCTTCACTTGAATTTTATGATTTGATTCTTTTATCAGTCATTGGTTGAGCTTGACATACACCTTCTCTACATAACTATCTGATACTGATTTTAGGGAAAACATATTAATGTCTGTTGCAGATAGGCCAAGTAAGTTTTCACCATGTTCTCCCAAAATTCACCAGATCAAGTGGGACACGTCGTTACAGAACCCGGCTACAAGAAAGCTTGTCAATGAATCTCATGGTAATTAAAGATTTGTACTGTGTGTATTAGATGAATTTCATGGTTATCACAGATTTGTACTGTGTGTATTAGATGAATTTCATGGTTATCACAGATTTGTACTGTGTGTATTAGATTAATTTCATGGTTATCACAAATTTGTACTGTGTGTGTATTAGATTAATTTCATGGTTATCACAGATTTGTACTGTGTGTATTAGATGAATTTCATGATTATCACAGATTTGTACTGTGTGTATTAGATTAATTTCATGG